ATGTCAAAAATCATGAAGAATCGAAAGCAAGGTTATGATCAAATATGGAATACGACAAATAATTATTAATAAGTTTGGTGCAAGAAACGATTGAACAGATTTAACAAAATCATGAAAGGACAATCGATCGATCGCATACGGGGACTAAAAACTTGTTAAATGGTGAAAGAAAAAGATTTTTGAATTATATTTTCGTATTTTGGCGGCAATTTAATAATAACGTTTTAATTAAGGAAAAAGAATATTTTGTTATTGAAACGAGTTTTCATCGGTGCCACGCATCGAACAAAGAAACTTCTTGTGAAAGTTTCCGTAGTGCATGATAAAGTGTTCTCTGGTTGGATACGCGGTTACAATCTTGTGGATGATCGTAATCAAAGTTAGTGTACTTTCGATGTGATCCCGCCCTTTGACAACAACAAAAAACGATATATCGAGGATGGGACGAGAGATTCTTCTGTTCCTTTTGGGAATTCTCGTCGTGGGTACACAAGGCATGTATTTTGAACTTTCAATACATTCAAAAGTTTCATTTAATTACTCGATTTCACTGTGTATAATTCAAATTATCTATTATTTTTAAACTAGATTCTGAAACAATAAATGTTATTTTAGAATATTCATTTTAATTTTATATTATTATATATTTATTTATTTATATTATTATATTTTGTATTTATATTTATATTTTTTTATAAGTTCAGGCATTTTTTGCGAATATATTTTTGAGAATTATCTACATTATTAGAATTCTTCTTATCTACACTATTCGAATTCTCCTTGAACTTGAAACGAATAATTTAATAATTTCAATCGATACATTATTTTTTTTTAATATTTTTAATCGTCTTTTATTATCATTTTCTATGATACTTTTATCGATATAGATGAAATTTGTGTTTTTTTTTAAAATGAGTTTCATATCTTTCAAATATGTAATATGCTTACACTCGATTTCAAGTTGTGAGCTTGTAATAAATGCTATATTATTTTGCAATAGCACATGTTATTCAATGTATATAAAATAAATATTTTAAAGTTCATTAAACCTTAGTGTCGATATTAGAGAATAACAGAGTTATTTAACTATTTCGAAATTTGAAATCTAAATTATACAATATTTTCTATCTATTCTCGAGTTTTGTATTAAGGAAAGGAATACAAGTATACAAAATAGGTACCGCCTACTTGATTCTCGTCCACGCGGATTTTCTGGTGTCTCGAGGTCACCTGGTGTATCCGCTTCAAATAAAATGTACAGGTTCCTGTCGCTTTGTATTTTGCTTTCTCGAAACCTTGCAAATTCCAGGTTTTTAATGTCTTTTTTTTTTTTCAAAGAAAAATATATTTCATATGTTATTTTTGTTCAAGGATAGTTCAATGATAAACATGGTTCCATCTTGAAATGCTGTTCCAATAACAGCTGCGATTCGCAAAATCAACGAAGCATTTAAAAATATTCATTCAGCGGAAGCAAATTTACATTCTCTTTTCCTGTTTAACCTGCGATAATACCAGTAAAATATTTCGAACTTTTCATAATTGATTTTTATTCTAATCGGTTAAATTTAATTTGAATAAAACTGGTCGCACAAGATAGGAAACAGGACTCACTATGAAGGCAGTCAATCGAAGCGAGTTTTACCTTTTGTAATTCTTATTCTCCTAGTTGACCTACATGAAACACCTTGGTAGACATTATATGTCTGGTGTGCATATATTGACAGTCTTATAATATTATTTTGCATGTAATTCTTGAAAAATAATCTATATACATCTAATAACATTTATATACATCTAATAACAATTTAATATACATCATTAATTTTACAAGAAACGTGAGCATTAGAAAGCACATTTTTTATAAATTGTTTTTCATCATTTCGTTCCACTTTTCATTATAAACTTGTCATTTTTCATTCAAAATACTTTTGATTCAAATTAGTACTTAAATAAATAATGGACTGAGAATTATAGTAATGTAAATTTAACCTAAAGATCCATTTAATTTAACTCAACATAAAAATAATAATATTGTAATTTAACATCCTTTAAAAAAATATAAAAATATATAAAAAAAGCTATTCTTTGTTAAAATAAAACTTAAAATATAAGCAAATGATAAAATAAACAAATGATTCGAAAACCAATCAATATAAATAAAATTACTATTGATTTCTGTGATATTAATTTTTAATTAAGAAAATTAGAAGATTCGATTTAATTATAATTAAAAAAATAAAAATTTACTAAATGTAGAGCGTTTTACGTCATCGACAGGTAAACTACAGATCTTTTCGTTGAGAATAACGCTCACCTGAACTTTCATTTGTGCAGGCAAAATTGCGTAGGAACGTGTCTTTCATGGAAAATGTAATTACAATTTAAAAGTAACATTTTTATCAATTATTATTATTTTTTGATTTAAAAACGTATTTTTCTTATTAAAAACTTTTTTAAATTAATTTTTCAAACTAAAAATTCTTTTTATCAATAATCAAATTTTCAATTAAAATGAAGTACAGACAATATTTTAAAAATTGTATAATATAATAGTATAATAAATTTCTATATAAAATTCTTATAAAATTCAAAAGAAATTTAGAAATTAATATTTCAATAAAAAAATTAACTAAAAAATGAACTCTTTAATGAATAAAAAATGTAATTTTTTGATAAATAAAGATTCATTTAAAATTTTTAATTATATTTAAAGTTTTTTTTACTTTCTAAGAATTTATTAACAGAAAAAATATATTTGATAATTCATTTTATTCTTTATTTTTTCTATTTTTCAAATAGAATTATCTGCAAATTGATCGATATAAATTATCATATACGTACATATACAAAAAAGTCCAGTTCGCCTTTGACCAATTTAATTCCAGAAATTCGTGAAGATCGTTATTGATAAAAAAATAGAATAATAGGTTAGGTTGATTTGCAAAGAAGTTAATCGATAGCCAATATACTACATTAAAACTTATGCTGAAATGGGGAAGTAAAAGCGTCCTCGAGATTCTAGGTGAACGCTTTTCTTTCGTTCTTGCAAAGAAGGAAGCGTGTCGAACGTTATGGACTTGCACGATTCTCGTTTCTATCGAACTAAGCTGAGACTGTCGTAACATTTAACTCTCGACGGTTTGACTGGATCGAAGCATGCGAAACTCGCGATAACTTGTGCTAAGGATAAACTACTTGTTGGGTGGGGCACTATGTTTCGACAATATACAGGTGAAATTTCAAACGACAATAAATCGCTTCCTTTCTCTTATGATCAACATGTGCGACGAATATATATTTTGATTGTGGCAATATATTCAAAACTCAATTCGTCAATTATACAATTATTAATATCAGCATATTAAATTTTATTATTATATATTTAGAAATTTTGAATTGTTTCATATTCATATATATTATTGTTCACAAATATTACTTATTTTTATTTTATTCGAAAAGTATAAATGAAGTATGATGTATAGAAAATTATTTTATAAAATTGAATTATATATTTGAGCCTAAAAATGATTAGGTTAGAATTTTATTACTTCAGAAAATTTTTTTATAAAAAATTTATTAAAAAGAAAATGAATATTCTATAATAAAACAATAAGAATAATAAAATTAAAAGAAGATTCAAAAAAAAATATAAAAAGAAAAAAAATAGCGTTTTTAAATTTTTGGCTATATATAAAATAAAATAATGCTTAATGGTAATTTAAATAATATGAATTCAAATTAAATTCAAATAATTAAATATTATTAAAATTTTGTTCATATAGACGGACTTTCATTGTATGAATATTGTTCAATATAAATTTTATTGTTCAATATAAATTGACAATTATAGAATTTAAAAATATTTATAATGTAAATATTTACAATTTTGATGCTACTTCATCAAATAACTAATACGAATACGTGCAAATTTAATGAAACAAAAATAGGAAAGTTCACTGCTGTTAGTGAGTTTTCATTTTCTGACGCGTTGCAAGGTGTCGCAAGTCACCATCGCGATGACACATGCGCCACGTGTTTTGCTAGTATGTACAATAGAGGTTAGGAAATTCACAAAACTTTCTATCATTTCCTACCGATAGAAGGAATAATAGAAACCTTTTTACGATAAAAATCAGTCGATTTCAAATTAGAAGGATTTTAACATAAAGGATTTTAGCACAAATTCTGAAGAATAAACTTATTATCTATTCCTTTCAATGGATTTTTTTTCGTAGAATTGAATAATATTAACCGGTTTTCTGATGTCCTATTGGTACTATCCAAGTAATTGTAAAATTCGCTCTCAATATGTCCCATTTATCTAAACGCAATAACATGTAATATATGCCATTGCGATTATGTATTTATATCTTTCTATTTATTTCTTATCATAAATTATATATAAATATATATAATATCAATATCATATTATATATAAATATCAAAAAAATACATAAATATCAAAAAAAAACAATAGAAAGTTTTAGAAATTTATGTTGTTTGGAATCATATTAAATTTTCTGTTCATTTTATTATTATGATATTAATACTATAAATATAGAAAAAAAAAAATAGAAAATTAATTATTTTATTAGATTTTACAAAAAATTTTTTGCGTTAAAATTCTAATTTGATTTTAATTCTTGAATATATATTAATATAATATAAATTATATAAATGTTATAAAAATCAAAAAAAAAATGAAAAAAATATCATTATGATTTGAATTTATTCCAATCAAAAAATATTCTGTATACTTTCTGTCAGGGATATATGCCAGTATCTTTTTTTATTTCTTGATTGTTATTTATTTGTATGTAAATGGATGTGAAGATTTTACTAATATAATATTGATAGTCGAGAAGCAAAATATAGATTAAAAAAAAAAAAAGAAAACATTTGAATTAAATTTCAATAAGATCTATTAAATTTTTATTGATTTCTTTTTTTTTTGTGATGTAGATCACAAACAGACACGCCCACTTTCTAATTTCTTGACAATTGTTTTTATATGTGCTATATTATAGATACAATAATTTGAAAAGCAAATTAGAAATATTCATATATTACTATAATATATCGACTATAATATATAATTACTGCAATAAACACATGTCAAACAAACTATTCTATTTTTGACATTTCATGATGTAATGCTATCGAATCAATCAAAAAATAAATGTTTCGAAGAAAATAAATGTTGATTTATATTTTGAGAAAACTAATCATTATTATAATATTATGATAACGATTATAATATTTTTGTTATATTATAAAAAGAAAATAGTATGATTGAATGAGAAAGTGATGTATAAGAGGAGAAAGTAGCAATAAAGTTTGAAATTAATATTAAGTTAAAAATATAATGAGATATAATTGCTAAAGTTTAATTTTTTTGAAACTACAAACAGAAAAAATGGAATTCAAAACATATAAGAATAAATTTATCAAAAAAGTTCAGAAATAAATTACTATTATTTACAGAAAGAAAAAAATGATTTTAATGGAAGGAATGATTTTAAGATAAATAAAATAATCAAATAAAATTCATAATTTCTAAATTAGATAATACATCTTGATATGAACAAAATAATAAACATAGACAAAAAAATTAATATTTTCGAAATTATAATTTTTTTTTAAATAATAATTTGAAAAATTTTTTAAAAAATGATTTGATTTTTTCGAAAAATAATATTTTGTGTAAAATCATTTTTTATTTTTTTCTTGTTAAATTAAATTAAAATCAACTTTCCATTTTTACACACAGTTTAGATATATTAATGTATGATAATATACTTACTATTTTATTTTTAAATATATTTATTTTAAAAAAAATTATTTATACTTTAAAAAATTTATATTAATAATTTTTTAACTCAGAATTTTTTTCTTTATTTAACAAATACAATCTATTCTAAAAACCATGAATACTTTCTTTTATTATATATTTTTTTTTATTTTTTTTGAATTGTCAAATCATACGGACAAAGATAAAAGAAAATGACGATAAATCACATATTATACTGTGGTGACATGCTTTAGCGGTAGTAGTCCCGATTCGAAGTAGCTCCATGTCGTACCGTTATTTCGGCTTCAAAGTTTTGTAACCGCGTGACCCAGACCCATGAAGCGATCAGCGAATGCCAGACTAAAGCTAGTACGTGTTTACACGTACACATGCAGCAATTAACCAAGAATCTCGACCTTTTCGTCTCTTCGAAATCTGGATTTAATGTGATTCTTTCCTGGAATTTATTTAATTTATAATTTATATTTAAGACGATTTTTAATAGCTATAAAATATAAAAATTATAAAAAAATTATAAATAATTATATTAGTTTTGTATACTTTAATTAAAATATTAAAATTATTATCATTTAATATTTTATATTCAATATTATTGAATACTTAATTGAATCATATATATATATATATATATATATATATAACCTATTTATATTTTTGGAATGTAACTTTCGTATAATATGAGGGTATTATATTAATTTAATTTATTAAAAACAATTATTTAAATTTCTGAATTTAAAATTATTCGAATTTTTAAATTTCTTTTCTTTATCAAAATTCAATAATTTTATAAAATATTTAAATTTAACCTTTTTTTATTGCAATTTTTTTTCTTTATTCTTATGCTTATTCATCTTTTATCAAGATGTTAGTTGAGAAAAGTTAGTTGAGAAAAAATGACATAGATTTAGATTAAAAATTTGATCTTTATTGTTAATAATAACTTTTGTATAACTAATTAACAAGTTTAAATTCAAATCTTGATGAAATGACTTATAATTACATAGAAAGTGAGCGGAAGAAAAGATTAAACATACAGTGAAGAGATCTATGTATGTCTAATCGAAATATATCGTGAACTATTGCACGCGCGAACGCGTTTGTACTAGCTTTAATTAACTCGTTCGCACGAAACGGTAACTCGATGTCTCATGAGAAACACTACCTTTTCGAGAGTTCGAATAGAGAATACATAGTGGCTTTCACTCTATAAATCGAGTACATAGACATGGATTCAAATTTAAATTAACGGATTTCCACTAGATATTTGATTGAAAAGAATTAACGGATAAAGCTGAGAAGATTGTAAATTAGGATCGTTAAGATTCTCGATTTGAAAATTTAAGGCCAGTTCTTGCAATCGGCCTTGAAATATCACCGGAAACTTATTCCATGAGTTACACGACTGCGTTATAATCGCCTTTGCGATTGTATCGTTCATATGTACCACTATTCACGAGACTTATATTACCATCCTTCTCTGTTTCCATCTTGATATTTTTGTATTTCCATGTAATGTTACGGCAATCAAATGAATTTTCAATCATAAATACAGCTGATTTTAAAAATGTCCGGTTTTTAAAATATATATTTTCTGAATATATTTAATTTTTAATGATTTTTTTTCTCATTATCATACATTATAATTTTTTGTTAAATTAATTAATCAATTAAATTATCAATGTAACAAAATAATAAGTAAGAATTAAATATTGAGTAAAATAATTTGATTATTTAAAATCTCACTTACTTCTATATATCAAAAAATATTTCAGATAGAAATTAAAAATGTTAATATTTGATGCTAATAATTTTTTGAAAATAAACATGTTATGAGTTATATAAAAATCAATTTAATTTTTGTAAATAAATTCATAATTTACATCAACAGTGCAGCATATTGTTTTTTATAAAAAAATTATAATATATTTTTATAAAAAAATATTAATTTAGTAGATAAAATTAATTGAAATGTTATAAAAATTGTCATATGAAAGACAATAATAAATATTTGTGTTCTTGTCAAAATTATTTATAAAAACTTTAATTAGATTAAGACTGAAATTATATATCTTTTGTATCTTGATAAAAAGATATAATTGTATGTAATAATTATTTTTTACAAATTATCTGTTTTAAATTTTTTATTATTCTATTATATTATGTTATGCTAATCTTTTTGAATTAGCATTATATTTTAAAACTAATTATTATACCATAATTGTTAAGATGAAAACTTTTATTTACTTATAATAATACATTTGTTGGCAATTATTTGTAAGGCAAAATATATTATTTATTTAAAAGACCACAAATACTTCAAAATATTCAAAAATATCACTAAAATATAAAAACATTTGTAATTCATTATACATTTATTATATTATACCTATATTTTCAACCTATTATATACATTTTTAAATACAATAATGATTTTTAATTGTTGTATTCATTATTGCTTACATTTCTTAACAATATCGATAAATATTAAATATTTTTATGTTTTTTAAAATTGTAATTAAAAAAAATTGCTTTCGCAACATACTTAATCTTGCTATTGTTTATTAATTAGAAAATACATATAATAATTACATATAATAATTATATCTTTATTATATTATATTGTCAAAAATTTAAATTATAAATCACAATAAATAATTGTATAATGTTTTGATCTTCTGATCGAAAAAAGAAACTATGAAATGTAAGTATAGAAGTATCGAGGAGATGGTGAAATGTAAAGATAGATAAATATTTTTTATCTATCTCTAATTGTACAAAATTCAACCATTTTTACTCTTATGAGAATATCTTGAGAATACCATGAGAGTTTTACGATAAATCATAAAGTGCATATGCTCATAATATACACGTCGATTTTTATCAGCTTCTAACTGCTGGGTTTTTCACTATAAGAAAAAGTTTCTCAAACTACATATCGTTTTGTCGATACTTCCCGTATTCAGAATTAACCATAACTTTATATCATTATATCTATTCTATACACGACCTACTAATTTTTATCCTTTTGCAGATGATAGAAAATCTTTCGTACAATTTCCCGACTCATAGAATTCGAATAATAGGGTAAGCGTGGGATTTTGATCAAGGTTTCTCTTTGCTTCGTATCATAGCCATTGTCTGACTTATTTTGAAAGTGAAGTATGGCTTATAAACTGAACGTAATGTAATACCTGTGTCCTTGACTATCCTCGACTTGACAAGAATATTTTTACGTAATGAAAGTTAGAAATTAAATGTGAAAGTAAATCTTATTAATTATCAAGTAATAAAAAATTCCTGTATGCATTTATGTGGTATTTAAATTAAAGATATGGAAGATATTCGAAAATATAAGTACTCATTATTATTGTTATTTTTATTAATTATATCGTACGCAACATTCATTGAAAGAAAAAAATCCAACATCGAAAAGTAAAATCTTCAATTGAATATTTTATTTTTTAACATTCTAGGAATATTAAATTAATATTTGCAATCTTTAGCAGAAATTGTAATTGAAAAGTAATCAAAATTCTGTCTGCCATAGAAACTACGCTGTCTAGCGTAAATAATATTGCTGAAATTAAAATTTTAGCTTAAAAAACCGTGAACTTTCTACTAAATATTTAACATAACATTAAAATACCATCGATTCATTAAATGGATATAACTACGCTGTAATCAGCCTTTTGAGTATTTCATATTTAAATTTTTAATGTTTTTAGTAATTTTTAGTTTTTAACATAAGATTTTTCATTAAGAATTTTATTTAACATTTATTTTGAAAATAGTTCATTTTTATCTAATAATTACAAAAAATTTTAATAATTATAAAATAATTAAAAATATTAAAAAACTTTTAATTGTAAGAATCTTTATGAATAATACATTTAATTCTTTTATTTAAAATTTTTATATAAAGAGATTAGACTAGTAATAATAGAATGTAACCTATTTAAAAATATTTTAATACAAAACTTTTTAAATAATATAGCTATTATTATAGAATAATGAATATATAAAATAAAGATAAATAAAATAATCATATTTTGAATATTTAATTTAATTTTGATGATAAAAAAATTTCAGATAAAAATTAAATGGTATGAGAAAATATATAATTTAGTGCTAATAATCTTTTCATTAATAGATATATAGAGATCATAAAATCAATTTTTTTTTGTTAAAAAAAGTCAAATTATATCTTTTTTCTTCCTGTGCCATTTTACTCAATTTTTATTTATTTGTAACATTTTATGATTACCAAAATCAAATAAAATTAAGATATTCTAGATCATGATATAATTCCATTCATCTTATGCCAAAAATTAATAATGAAATAAAATAAAGATACCTTTTCTTACAAATATATAATTTTTTATTAAATATACTGAATATTTAATGCCTGATACTTTTCTCGTAACTAGTTATAACTAATTTTTTTCTTGCCAAAATACTCGTTAACACATTACAAATATTTTCTAAAATATAGAATTATTAAAGTGCGGCCATCCAGCTGTACCAATGAATGCCAAGGTGTCATTGTCCGATGAATCCTTAGCAACAGGCACTTTGGCGACATATACTTGTGATGCCGGATACGAATTATTTGGGTAAGTGACTCTAGAAATATCCGTTCTTTGTGGAATATTAAACGTCATACTTAAATAACTTACGAGAATTTATTAGAGATATGTAAGTATTATATGGTGGTTAAATTATAATAAAATTAAATTAATTTAATTATAATATTACTTATAATAATTATTAATAATTAATAAAGAGAAATTGAAAAGAAAATATTATTGTGTTTTCCTCGCAATATATGTATAAATAAATAAGGATTTTCATTTTTAAAAATTTAAAAAATAACTTTTCAAATCAAAATAAAACAAAAATCAAGAATAAAAAAAATGTTTTAGTTTCATTTTTTAATTATTGACAATTTAAAAATAATTTTAAGATAATATTTATTCAAAAACTTATAAAATATCTTATAAACGAAAACAAATAAAAACAAAAAAAAATTCCTTTATAGACGAAAATAATTTAAGCAATAAGAATTTTTTAAAATTATTTAATCGAGTATCAAAAATAAATATAGAAACGTTCAAAAATCCAATTTTTTTTAAATAAATAAAGATTGATGAATAAAAGTCAATATTCAAATTGCAACTAAATGATCGTTTGTATAGTATGATAATGATAATGATAATCGTCGATGGCATTACTTACTCATTATAAACTTTCTCCGTTTTATAATTTGTATGATTAACGATTTGTTTACGTATTTACGTGTTCGTCTTCCGTTCTCTTATTGTGCATTATTTATCATAAAGTAAAGAATTTCGATTATTTCATTTAATTATTATTTGCTCAGCAGTGGCAGTTTAACATGCAACGTTCGTGGGAAATGGCAAGGAGATCTACCATTTTGTGGTAAGCATTCTATAAATTTAATTTTATCTTTATCTTATTATTTTTATTTCATCTAACCTAACTTCACTGCACTGGCACATTCGATTACGCGTTTCTTTTGATAATAAGATTATACGCAACTTTCTCTTCAATACACGTTGAAACAGTTTTGTTGAAAGAATCAGTTCTTTACGATCGAAG